TCTTTTTTTTTTTTTTTTTTTCTTTCGGGTGTATCTTATTGGTTATGATGACTCTCTCTCTCTCTAATTAAACTTCAGAGAATTGAGCAAGAATGCACTGAAAAACAAGAAAAAGAGGGAAAAACAAAGGGAGAAAAAGGCTTCAGAAGATCCCTCCGCCTAATTTACAAGTTTGGTTTGTTCTCATGTTATTCATTAATGAATTTTGTCTCGAAAATTAACATATACTACAAGTTTTGATGAGCACGATTGATGTATTGAAACCAAATTGAATGTGTTAGCATTCTATTCTTTTATATTTCGAGGAATATAAATAGGGACTTCAAATCATCCTTATATTTTCAAATATATAGGTCCATTCGATTTCGGCGTATCGAGACAATTCTGTATGTGAATTCTTTAAAATATTGGGTAAATTACGGCCACCCCTGAGGTATGGCCAAATTACGAAAAAAACCCTCTTGTTTGGGTACCTTTTAAATATTTACATAAAATTTATGTAATTCGGTTATTTACCGAACCAAATCGTATATTCAGTTCGGTAAATGGTATGAAATGTTAGCGGACCGAAATTTCGATTCGATTTTACCGATTTAACATTCCTAAATTTACCTCTGGAGAGGTTTTTTTGTAAGATCATACATAGTTGAAGGGTGGCTATAATTATCCAAACAGGAAGGGATTTTTCGTAATTTGACCATAACTTGGGGTGGCAATAATTTGCCATTAAAATATTAATGAGATGAATATTGAGTTACTATTACATTTTAGTATCTTCTATAAATATTCGTCTCTTGTCGTCTGGTCTGTAAACCGTTTTTCAGAAAAAAGAAAAGGATAAAATTTATTTATATCTGTGGCCAACACATGATTGATTAATTTTCATTTAAATCTCTTCAATCTTTGATTAGTGATTACTCACAAGTCATAAAGACATTTATTTTGTCAAAATACCCCTCATGGGGTTATTTTCATCAATTACATTTATTATGCTCTAACTTTATATCGATATTGCATATTGACCCCGGATGTGAATAAATATATCACATTAACCCCCATTTTCACAAAGTAATTTTTTTCGCCATGTTGATTTGTGTTGGGCCCCCGCGGGGATATCACAAACTCCACATTGGTATGATATTGTCCAGACTGGGCCGGGCCCAACTGGTTTTGCTCTTGGGTTTCCCCAAAAGGTCTCATACCAATGGAGTTACTATCCCCTCTATATAAACCATAGATCTCTATATAAACCATAGATTTTTCCCATATTAAACCGATGTGGGACATTGTTTGCACCTCAACAATCCTCCCATCGAACCAAGTACCACATAGGTCGGACCACAAAGGACCACCGAGCCTCCCCTCAATTTGCGCCTGGGGCTCACACCACCGAGCCTCCCACCTGGAGCCCGTCGAGCCACCTCCATTTGGTCTCATACCAATGGAGTTACTATCCCCTCTATATAAACCATAGATCTCTATATAAACCATAGATTTTTCCCATATTAAACCGATGTGGGACATTGTTTGCACCTCAACAATCCTCCCATCGAACCAAGTACCACATAGGTCGGACCACAAAGGACCACCGAGCCTCCCCTCAATTTGCGCCTGGGGCTCACACCACCGAGCCTCCCACCTGGAGCCCGTCGAGCCACCTCCATTTGCGCACCGGGAGCTCACCATATTTGTTCGGCACCGAGGATTCGGGAATGGTTAGGTCTGGGCCATGGCTCTGATACCACTGTTGGGCCCCCGCGGGGATAGCACAAACTCCACATTGGTATGATATTGTCCAGACTGGGCCGGGCCCAACTGGTTTTGCTTTTGGGTTTCCCCAAAAGGCCTCATACCAATGGAGTTACTATCCCCTCTATATAAACCATAGATCTTTCCCATATTAAACCGATGTGGGACATTGTTTGCACCTCAACAATTTGGGTCTTTTGGGCAAAATTCCAATTAGGCACATCACACTTTAAGTTCGATTGATCAGGGTTATCAGGCACTGACTTGAGCTCGGAGGACAATCATCAGCGCAACCACGTCAAATCACCTAGTGTATGCGTTGTTTTATATGTGGCATGTGGTTTCCTAATTGGCACGTGAATCTATTGTAGGCGCATTTGGATTATCACAACTCACAACGCATTGGGGTTATCACTCTACCGTTAGAAGAAAAAAAGTTTTCAAAAAACAAAACAAAAGTCAACGCCGGAATCTGGCCGGAAAAAAAAAATTCAGAAAAAAATTATTTTTTGAAAAAAAAAAATTCAAAAAAATATTATTTTGGGGGTTAATGTGATATATTTGTTTAAATTCGGGGTCAATGTGTAATATTAAGGAAGTTAGAGCATAATAGATGAAATTGATAAAAGTTATATTATGGGGGGTATTTTAGACTAAAGACGTGGGGATGAGTTTATTGAAAGACTGTTTTTTTTTTTTTGTGGACCAATGTCCATTTAAGTCCCTTGTGATGAGCCTTTTTGCCATTCGCCCTATCTTCAAATCCTTTTTTTCCCCAAAAAATCAGAAGAAAATCTTATATAGATGGGATTTTTTGCATATTATTACTATTTTTGAGTTCAATATGGACGGATTATGATAAATACATAATGTTACACCTATTTTATTTGCAGAAAATGCGCTTTAATTTGGATATTAGTTTTTATGAGAAGAAATTATTCTCTGCGGAATTTGGAAAGTAACGGCTATATGACTTCTTATCTTTGTCTAGTGATGCTTGTTAAAAAAAAATTGGTTAAATGAAATGGTATTAGTAGAAGGTGTTATGTTTGCAATCCACGGTGATGAAGACATTAGTCAATTTAATTGGAGTATATCTTTCTTTAGGATTGGAGGATGTTGCAGTGATTTTTTTTTTTTTTTCAAGAGATTTTTTTTTGTCAGGTTTTGTAAGGGTAGTGTGGGGATTTCTTAAAAATATATGGAATTTGGAGAATAAATTGGCTGCAGTGACAAAACTGAAGGAAATTAAAACCACAAGGATGATTTTGCTTTTGACAGTAGAGCTCAGGGCGAAAATGAATTTTACCTCCCACGAGGGATGACTCTGCGGTTGGAGCAAGTGAATATGTGTCAATTGACTCACATTCAAATCCCCAACGATCGCTAGGTCGAGTTTGTCACACATGGTTAACTTATTATGGCTTACGTCTCTCATATAATTTGCAAACTATTATACAATAGTATAGATTGACACAGTGCACTTATATGATTGGCTGCATAAAAATGAATTTTGCCCTCAACAACTGGTTTATTTATTCATTCATTTATTTATTTTCACTTGTTACGTAAAATGTAACAACACATCACTGGCACATCACAAGAGTGTAATTTGTTTTAACACGCGGCACAACAAGAACAACAACAACAAAACAAAGAGAGATCATTATACAAAGCCAACTTATAGAATTTTGTGGTATAATTATCTACCGACTTGTTCCCTTGCCTTAAATTCTGTAATTGTTGGAATAATATACTTTTTTAATTTATCCCAAGATGTAATCCTCTTTTTTCTTTGCCTAGTACAATTAGCTTTGTTGTGTTGTCACCACGATGCAACCGTTCCACGAAATTTTGTAGCGACTAAGCCAACCTTCTTATTTTCTGGCACTTCCTTGAGGTCAAGGATCTCCTCAGTAGCGGAAAACCACTCCAATAATTCCTCGGCTTGAAGGTTGCCATGAAATTCCGGAATATCCATTCTTATACCAGATTCCCATCTATGTGCACTAGAGTTTTCTCGATCTCCTCTGAAATAACCTCGTCGTTGACGATGTGTCTAACCAAACGGATTCTGAAAGTACTCTACTTCTACGTCAGAAAATTCATCCTCCACCGATGGTTGAGGTGATGGATTACGTTGGTGTTGATTCCGTAGTTCTGCGTTTTCACACATTAATGCTTCCACTTGCTGAGTTAATCGAGCTATTTCATCAAGTTCGTAAACATCATTGAGATTGGCTTCTCGACCACAACCACGTCCTCTATTACGGGCCATTCCGCAGGAAGCGAGCGCAATCTCTAGATACCCAACCTTCTTTGAATCTACACAATTTTAATAGACAAAATTGCAGAAAAGGCATCCAATTACAAAAATTACTTTAGGAAAATAAGAACAACCCTTGAGTTTCTAAGTTTTCCACCAAAAAAAACTCCCCAAAAAAAAATTGAATACAACTTATTATAAAGGGATAAAAGAAACTCATAAGACACAAATGAGGACTTCCTGATGCATTCATGTGAGAGAATTTGACCACTATTTTCTAGTTTTCTTTATTTCATTTAATTTCATTAAAGTAAATTTCAATGCTTCTTGTTGTCAAAACCTCTTGGAATTGTTGTGGGATTTTTTCTCCAGACTTTCTTGGTGGTTAATGGACATTAACACTACATCAGACACTCCTGCAAAACATAATAACAACGAACTTGAGTTTAAATCTACGGAAACCTATAGAAGAAACTAAAAAACGAATAAACTCTATTGATGCAGATTAAGAACATGGAGAATATAAATCCATAAGTTATTGTTGAGGTGCAAACAATGTCCCACATCGGTTAAATATGGGAAAGATCTATCCTTTATAAGGAGGGGATAGTAACTCCATTGGTATGAGGCCTTTTGGGGAAACCCAAGAGCAAAACCAGTTGGGTCCGGCCCAATCTGGACAATATCATACCAATGTGGAGTTCGTGCTATCCCGATAGGGGCCCAACAGTGGTATCAGAGCCATGGCCCAGACCTAACCATGTGGTGGAAGTTGCCGGAATCGGTGGAAATTCCCGAATCCTCGGTGCCGAACAAAAATGGTGAGCTCCCGGTGCGCAAATGAAGGCGGCTCGACGAGCTCCAGGAGGGAGGCTCGGTGGTGTGAGCCCCAGGCGCAAATTGAGGGGAGGCTCGGTGGTCCTTTGTGGTCCGACCTATGTGGTACTTTGTTCGAGGGGAGGATTGTTGAGGTGCAAACAATGTCCCACATCGGTTAAATATGGGAAAGATCTATCCTTTATAAGGAGGGGATAGTAACTCCATTGGCATGAGGCCTTTTGGGGAAACCCAAGAGCAAAACCAGTTGGGCCCGGCCCAATCTGGACAATATCATACCAATGTGGAGTTCGTGCTATCCCGATAGGGGCCCAACAGTTATGCTATCCGCACAAGTAATAAAATAGAGTGTAAATCATGATCTTATAAACAGTTTAATGGAAACGAAAAAAATCGAGTTGAACCATTCGTGCTAGGGAAAAAAAATATTAAAAAAAAAAAAAAAAAAAAAATTGATGGGGGCATTACGTGGAAAAGATGGAGGATTCTGATTCGAGCTCAGTTTCGGTACTCGTTACATGGTGACATCCTCCAGTACTCATTATCATTTCGAGTCGGAAAAAGTACTATCTGTGAGAGTTACGATTTTTCGGTTTCCAAGTATGACGCATGGGATATGAGATATTAGTGAAGTGTCCATCTGCAACAGTTTTTCGATCTTTGGACTTCCACTAATAAACAAATACTCGAGCATTGCTAGATCCACCAGTTCATAACCGATTTCAAATTCACTGCAACTTTGAATGATCAACTTCCTGAGGGAACGGCAACTGCTGAGCTCATTGACTTCCGTTGCCTGAGGACAATCCTCAACAACCAACTCACCGAGTCTGGGAGGGAAACTCAAACGTTCGAGAGAAATGTGTGTCAGAATCGGACAGTCTGAAATATGTAGCTTCCCAAGGGATGAAGAAATAACAAGATTAATACTTTTTAGCTGGTGGCAGTGTAGGATACCCAAATGTTTTAGGAAAGGGAATTTCTCGAGGCGAGCTACACTATTATCAATAGTAATTTCATTCTTGATGTTGAATAGAATGAGTTTTTGGACCCAATACAACGAAGTTAAATGCTTCAAAGGCATCCCTAGTTCCATATCTTTGATAAGAACAGAAGAACGAAAGTCAAACCTAGTCAAGGGGTTAAGGATCTTACTACTGCTGTTGCAAACTGTCAAGTGGCGTAGGGTATTTGGGATGGAAGGCAAACGTTCGAGCCGAGGACAACCTTCGACCGTTAGGGTTTCGAGCCTAGGAAATAAGTGGGACGAAACGGGAAGCTTTACATCGTTTGACCATTTGAAGAGCCTCGGCAGATCATGAAGACCGAGTTGTTTCAGTGATGGAAATACATCACAATCACCGTAAAACTCTGCAACGATGCGCTCGATAAACCTCATCTGTCTCAGCTGCAGCTCCTCGAGGCTACGCAGCTTGCCTAGTGCCGCCGGAAGTTCCTTAAACCCACAGTCGGAAATGGAAATCTTAGTTAGATTGTGCATGAACGAGATCCACAGAGGAAATCGGGTACCCATGTAGCCTGTTAATTCAAGAACTCTGAGTCTCTCATTCGGCTCCAACCACTCTAGTACTTTAAAGCAATCATACTCATCGGCCTTACTTCGACTACTACTACTACTACTACTAGTCCAGGACAATCCCAAGTGGACGAGATTTTTATGACGCAGCTCCGCATTCGCGGCGTCGCTAATTAGCCTTACATTCTTGAGATTTCTGATCTCTAATCTGCCCCTGAGCTTGTTTAACCCTCGAAGATCTCCTAAGCTAGCACAATAATGATCCTTGTTACCCAAAACAAGCAGTGGCATTGAAGTGAGATTTTCAAGGAAGCCAATTCCAGACGGCAAATGCGACAGAGACTCACACCGGTACAAATCTAAATGTGTCATTTGCGTCAGATAACGCAGTCCCGCAGGTAAAGCTTTGAGATGAGAACACCATGATAGATCCAGGGTTCGTAACTCTGAAAGACGAGTGATGGAATCTGGTAACATTTCAATCAGCGTATTGGAGAGATTAATGTACCTGAGCTCTTCTAACTCGCATATATCTTCTGACAACATCCGAATGCCACTGCAACTCAAATCAAGTGAGTGCAAATTCAAGAATTCAGCTAGCCAATGATCTAGATCGCCTCCCAAAAATATGCTAGGTGATAAGATCATTGTTTGAAGTTGTTGCGGGTTATACTCTCCTGTAAACGAGAGTGCTTCAGCATCTTCACCAATGGAGCCAATCACACCTAGCTTCAATTTCAAGACAACCCTAGCAACATCCTCTGCTATTTTACGGATCAAGTCAGGCATCTGAAACTCTTCAATCTCACCGTATTCATCGTATGTCACATCGGTGAAGAATGACATCGAGATCAACTGGTCAACGCAAGAATCATCGAAATCACTCAACTGGTTACAACAATCCAGATGTGCAATCAACATCCTAATGACCTTTTGTTTGTTGAGTGCATAACCTTTAGGAAAAACGGAGCACAAGGCAAGGCATTGCCTTAACTGTTGAGGAAGAGCCCAAACGCACATCAAAATAACAGCCGATGCATCAGGAGCCGGCAGCAGCATAACAACCGAGAAATCCACGGTAGAAATTAGTTCCCGAAGGATGGAGTGATTTCTCATACAGCTACCGAAAAGTCTTAAAGATAACGAATCACCCCCACACAAGGCTGCAACATTTTTAGCCATCAATGGAGTTGTTACATCCTCTTCCGAGAAACTATACGCAAGATGTCTATACAGAGACAAAGCAGCATCCTCGGACAATTGTGACAACTCGAACGGTCTGTGATTCCAGACAAGATTTGTAACTTGTTTGCGACAGGATGTGATCAAGACCACAGATCCCAAATCCGCAAAGTCAAACCAGCGTTTAACCATGTGGAGCCACGAATCGTCAGACATGGATTCGACACCGTCAAACACAATCAAGCATCTCTCAGATTGTAAAGTTTCTCTGACGATTTCATCCAATTCATCCATGTCATCAATGGAACACGAGATATCCAATAAGGATTTTAGTATTCCTTGAGCAACTTGATGCAGCCTCAATTCTTGTCCCTCCACTTTAACCCATGCACGCAGTTTGAAATGTTCCTTCATCACTGCGTCGTCGTTGTAAACCAGTCGAGCAAGTGCTGTCTTCCCGCTTCCACAGACGCCGACAATTGGAATCACCGACAATTGAGGAGTTGTGTTGCGCGCCTCAATTATTGCGGATATAATCTTCTGAGTCATACTCGTTTCAAAGAGTTTCTCAGAGCCTGTAGTCGCAATTCCAGGATTGATGAATTCATCAACATGTGGAGTGCTCTCGAAAATCTTTCGCAGCAAAATATCGTAATCCAATGCTGATTCCTTGCGGCGCATGACTCGGAAAATGTTTCGCAGCAAATCAATGAATGATATTGCCGAAGCCTCCATATCTTGATTGTTTTTTGCGTGTATGAACTAGAGAGAGAGAGAGAGAGAGAGAGAGAGAGAGGTATGAACAGGCTCAGCTGTCTTTTCCATTAGTCAACGCCCAATGAAGTCAACCCTTTAGATTCTTAGAACAAGGATAGAAAAATTCAAAGTGACCATTTCTTCAGCAAAATTGAATTGTCTCGTTTGGCGAAATTGACAAGAGAAATAAAATAAAATAAAAGAATGGTTAAAAATTACAGTTCAATAACATTTTTACTCTTACTTTTATGAAGATAGCCTCCTTCTTCTTCTTCATTCCTTCTTCATTTTTACATTCACTTCTTCTCTCTCTAACTTCAAAAATTGATTCTCCTTATTTCAATTGCTAAATGCAGCCCTAACCCTTCAATCGCCGTCCAGTTGATCTGTATCCACTTCTCCACCTCTTCCTTCCATCGTCGATTCCTCGACTGTAGCACAATATTAAAATAAATGCATCTTCGATCAATTTGGTTTTGTGTAATGGAGAAATTCTAGACGGGCTGCGAGGAGAAATTAGAAAAAAACTCGTATTGGTGATTCGCGTGACATACGAGAAATTAATTAATCACTAATCCAGTGAATCAGCAATAGTCATATTCAAACCAGACTATAGTCACGTTAATTCTGCTGCTTCAGATCTGGGAGAAAAAAAAGAAAAAAAGTCAGAAAATAACGAAAGGGAGTGAGGGGAGGTGGCAACAACGATGGTGAATGAAAGAGAGAGTGGAGGAGGCGGCTACAATGTTGGTGGTGGACAGATCTGAATTTTTTTTTTTTGAGAAATCGAGAGAAGTAACAAAAAAGTGAGAAAAAACCTTACCTGGAGACGAAGGACGCGGCGGTGGCAACGAGCGGCAATGGTGGTTGTGTAAAAATCTATGTGAAGACGATGGTGGTGTAAAGAGAGAGAGAAACTGAGAGAGATAAAGAACGAGAGAAAGATATTTATGTGGAGATGAAGGGGGAAGCGAAGGCGGCAATGAGTGGCGGTGGCGCGGCGGCAGCGGCGGTTGCAACTGCGGAGGATGAAGCTTGGAATTTCCGGATAGAATTGAATGAGGTGGAGAGGTGGAGAAGATGAAAGTAATAGATGTTGGCAAATAATTAGAGTTATAGTAGTTGAGGGTACATTTGTCTTCTCACACTAGTAGAGGGGGGTCTCATTAATTAAGAATGAAATTTGGGTGTAGGAAAAGTCTTTAAAAGTCAATCGGGTCTAGTTCAAAATATTTTCGATTTAAGGGGTGTATTGCATATTTCCCCTTGTTTAAAACAATTTCTAAGATTATGACAAAAAGACACCTTTATGGACAACTTCATTTGCAAAGGTGCAACACCTCTTCATTAGTGTAAAACACGTATTCACTTGAAATAGTTGTCTAAACATCTTTCCAAATTTTAATTTTTCATTCACATTAAAATAATTTATTTTAATAAAATTTCCAACAATCACAAGGTCCAATTAATACCTCTCATGTTAAATTGAGTTCAAGTATTTGGGAGCACACCTACTTTCTTAGAAGATAACTCGGTTGTTTCTAAGTTTTTTTGCTCCTCAAATTGTAGGTACTTTAGTTGAAGGATTTCCGATGGGAACAAATAAATACGTGCAACAATCCCAGAATGTGGTGGAAATACGCACAGAGAAACTTCTCAACCGTTTGTGCGTCCTACTTTTTCATGTCGACAAACAAATAGATAAAGTGCTTCTGCAAGGTAGATTTCTACCTAAGAAATTAAGCCAATGGCCATTGGAGGCTCGAGCGTTGAAATGTCAAGTGAGTGATCTTATAGAGAAGCAACGAAACAGAAAGGGAGATTTGCAAATACGTGAAGAGTTGGTAGCAGTAGGCATCGAAATGATCAATCAGCTCAAGAGATGCCCATTCAAAGATGAATATATGTATGACAAACCAATCCCTGAAATCGTACAAAAACATGAGAAATATGAACCAGATTTAGACATATATCATAAAACAAAGACGCGGCAGTACACAAGTGGAAGTAAATTCTACAATGTTGTAGAAAAAAGAATGCATCCACCACGTAAGCCTACGAAACAAATTGCTGCTAGAAAAAACAACCTGATGGATTATTTGTCAATTGGACAAAGTTACAGCGATGAAAGTAACCTGTCGACGGTTCCGCAAGCCACAGATGCTATTTTGGGATTGACTTATTCGGTCAACAAAAGCCTGTTGCGGCAAAAAGTAAGTGATGCTGTCAGTGTTGCAAAACCATTACGAAGTGAACCAATATCCATTCCAGAAAGTACCGTGAGCGGTGTAGTTCTTGAGAAAGCATCTTCATTTACTAGAAATAAAATGATTCTCCCTACTCCGAATGCAGATTCTCTCTCAGGTGCACATAATTTGAATCATGCAGAGCAAAAGCAAACTGACGAGATGCCCAAATTTGTCGACATCAAAGAGGAGAACTTGCACCGTTCTTGTTCACAGGAAATAAAGAAAGTTTATGGTGATTTTTTCCCGAAAGATGAACATTATTTGATTAGTACGAAGGGCAACATTGTAAATCTAGAATTAGATCATCAAACTATCTCAATTGGAGATTATCCATCATCATCGGGACAAAATGAGAATTCCTCAGTGATAAACCTGGCAGAACAAGACTTGTGTCAGCTTCCTGATAAACCAGACTACCCTAATTCTTGTATCATGTTCCTCCAAAAGAACGACCGCTTGGCTCGTATCCACGACTCCTTTTTCCAAACCATGCCCGATCTTCTTTTTCTTGACATGTCGGATACTAGGATCAGGATCTTGCCTAGTTCACTTTTCGGCCTTTCCAAACTTAAGGTGCTTCTGTTGAGAAACTGTCTTTCTCTTGACAATCTTCCACCTCAAATACGTGAACTCGCGAATTTGGAAGTGCTCGATCTCTCAGGCAGTGAACTCTATGACCTGCCTGATGAAATTGGCGAACTTACGCTTCTAACGCATATGCAGCTCTCGTTTTATGGGCCTGATGATGAAAGTGAATATGCCCATTTGCCACCCCGGCTGGTTTCTCCCGGTTTTTTATCAAAGATCGAGAAATTGGAAACTCTAACCATTTCAGTGCACCCTGATGACCACCGTTGGGTAAAGATCGCCGAACCGATATTGAAGGACATTGGCGTGTTCGAGAATCTCAGTTATCTTCAGTTCTACTTTCCACAAGTTCAAATGTTTGAAGATTTTATTGGGAGGAGCTCTTCTTGGTTCAAGGGAACGTTAATCAAGTTCAAATTCGTCGTTGGCCGCGATGTGAAAAGAATAGCATCTCGAGTACCGAACGAGATTGAACTGGCGTTCCACGAAGAAAGACAGTCCTTGAGATTTGTGAATGGGAATGAAAAGGTACCTCAAGTGATTCAAAATGTACTTGCGCGCGCCACATCATTCTACCTGGATCATCACATGAAAGTCAAAAGCTTGTCGGAATTCGGGATTTCCATGTTCAAGTTACTAAAGTTTTGCCTGTTGAGGGAGTGCCCGAAAATCCAGTCGATTATAGGCAACAATTCGACCGAAGGTGCATTTCCATGCTTGGAACATTTGAGTATCTATTATTTGTGGGAGCTGGAGTATATATGCAAATCACCTTCGGTCAAGGGAAGCTTTCCGGCACTTACTCATCTAACAGTCAGCACATGTCGTAAGCTAAAATTCGTACTCTGGGAATCGATGCTTCCAAGTCTTTCCAACTTGAAGGAACTCGTGGTTGAAGAGTGCGAATCCGTCGAGAAAATAGTTAGACAAGAAAAGGAGAAAGTCAACACTAACAACAATGCTGAAATGCTTCCTGAATTAAGAAAACTTGTACTTCAGAACTTGCCTGAGTTGGTTACTCTTGGAAATGGACTGTGTTTATCAGAAGACAAACTTGATATTAATGGCTGTCCAAAGTTCGTATTGAATTCGCGGCCCAAGGAACAATCAGTCGTAAAGCAGAGGAAGTTTCTTACTTCTTTAAAGGCTGCCCTTCAATTCAAGTGATATGATCTACAAGAAATGTCAGTATTGGAAATACTCTTATATTTCATTTGTGTATTTGCACTTATATTAGTACCACAAGGGGTTATGCGCAAACCCGTGAAAACACATGGGGCTTAAGTGCTAATTACCCTATAAATAAATCATTTACGGGGAAAATACAGTTTACATCCATCAATGTTCATAAAAAACACATTTGGTCCCTCATATTTCAAAAATTCTACACTTTTAGTTTTTTCCGTCAATTTTTCATTAGTACTAACAAAATCAAGTTTGTGCCCATCAATGCTATAACTGACGAATTAACTGTAAATTGATGAAATGACCAAAAGTGTTAATGTAACATGAGGGACCAAATACATTTTTTATGAACATAGGGGACCAAATGTGAAATCGGTGCAAACATGAGAGATGTAAACTGTAATTTTCCCAATCATATACCTAAAAGGACATACATGATTCTCTATTGCCTAAAAGTCCATCAAAGACAAAAATACCCCTAAAATTCTAATTTACTCCGATCTCACCCCTCAAACCCTAATTTAACCTTAATTTCATCAATTAACCAATTTATACTCCGATTTTAATTGTTGTCGTCGTCGTCGGTGACGATGGTGAAAGTTGTTGACTTTAAAAAAAATTATGATTTTTTATTTTATTTTGTCGCCATCAACTTTTTCTTTTTCCACCCTTGACTTAGTTGTTCTTAGCTGTTTTATTTAGTTTTTTTGAATTTGTTTTTCTCGGTCAACATAACAATATTAATTTTTATTTACAGTAACATTACGGTGATGACCGGTGGTTAACAGAACAATATTATTGCTCAATACAGTAAAAAATATTTAATTTTACCATGTTGATTGTCAATACAGTAAAATAATAAAAATATTATTCTTATTAATTCTTTTTTTGACAAGTTCAATTATGAAGCACTAAGAAAATAATGAAGTCGTTTTCCTTCTAAAACTTCTCACCAGCAACAAATTAAAAAGAGTTAGTGGGATGATCATTTGCCGTTGACAAAAATTTGGCAATCTCAAGATTTCTCTTAAATTGTTGGCTTAAGTTTAAGACCATTTTGCTTGCAATCGAAATCTGAGACACCTTCATCCGATCATTCTTCAGGTAATTATTTTCTTTTTAATTCTTTTACGATTTCCTTTACAATTTTCATGCTAACAATCGCAATTAGTTGCTTTTGATCATATCAAACTCTTTTTTTTCTTTTTTCTTTCCTCAATTCTTATTTAATTAGAACCTTTATTCATCAGTAAAGGTTCTAATTAGTATAGGTTTAAGAAAGAGTTATGCACACGACGAAGCAGGATTTTTAAGTTTTGTATAATTGCTAAAGAATGTATGCAAGTATGCACCACAATCTCTTCTGTATTTTGGACATGAAAAATTGAAAACGTAAATAGGAAAGATAGAATTTGCACTAGAAATTTTCAGCACCGCACGGCCTGATTTGCCAACCAAATTAGCTGGTCTTTGTTCGATATTTTTTTCCCACAAAAGCACATGAACGATGATCTATCTAGTAAACGTAGCATAATCACATGTATGCGTCGGGAATAAAGAACGCAAATAGGTTTATGAGTTTATATTGATTTCCCACAAATAATACAAATGCGACCAAAGTGCACACACCGGGTTGCCTGCCGTTCCAGCTTGCCCCTGCTTGTCGAGTCTTGATCGAGTTTTACCACACGTCATTGCCCACATCTTTCTGCAAGGCTGCCGAGAAATGCGCATGCCAAAGTTACGAGTTCTTATAGGAAGAATATAATTGGAGAAGGAGAGAAATAATAATACGTAATAGAATAGAAACCCCCATTGTCTTATGGGTTGATTACATGGAATATATATAGAGAAATATTGCAAGGTAATAGATTTTGACTAGGTAACTAAATCTTAACTAATCTAGGTAACCGAATCATAATAGAATCATAATATCCTACAATATCTAATAATATAATATACTCTAACACGCCCCCGCAGTCGAAACGTGACGAACGTGAAGACTGGACAATCACTTGCTAGCACGCCCCCGCAGTCGGAATGAATAAACTCAAAAAGTGAAGACTGGACAGAAACCGCGAAACACAACGCTAGAGAATTCCTCTGTGTAAATATCTGCCCAATTGATAGAAAAAAATAATAATAATAATAATAAACGGGTGAGAGAAAAATAAGCAACTTTTTTTTTTTATGGAGATAGAGAGAAGAGATTAACCGACTGAGAAGAAGAAGATGTCGGAAAGGGAGAAAAAAAATATAAGTTACCACCACCGGGGGAGGAGGAAATTTGGGTGGTGTTCATGGAAAAGACAGAAGAAGATAGATAGAGAGAAGAGTACCACCACCGGGAGGGAGATAATTGGTTTGGTGGTCGCCGGCCATCGAGAAGAAGAGAGGCGGCGGCGGCTAGGTTTTAAGCCATGGAAAAGAAGAAGAAGAAGAAGAAAAGATAGAGAACCACCGGGGGAGGGAGAAAATTTGGGTGGTGTTCATAAAAAAGATAGAAAAAAAAAAGAATAAAAAAAGAAAAAAATAAAAGAAAAATATTAGAGTACCACCACCGCGGGAGGGAGAAAATTGGGTGGTCACCGCCATGGAGAAGAAAGGCGGCTACGTTTTCACCGCCATGGGAAGAAAGGCGGCTAGGTTAAAAAACCTAAACCTGGTGCTCTGATACCATATAGGAAGAATATAATTGGAGAAGGAGAGAAATAATAATACGTAATAGAATAGAAACCCCCATTGTCTTATGGGTTGATTACATGGAATATATATAGAGAAATATTGCAAGGTAATAGATTTTGACTAGGTAACTAAATCTTAACTAATCTAGGTAACCGAATCATAATAGAATCATAATATCCTACAATATCTAATAATATAATATACTCTAACAGTTCTGCCTACAATCACTCGTGCCGTTCGCCAAGCAATGCCCGTGCCAAACGCTGAGTATCGCCCATGCTAACTCGTGCTAGCCGCCCGAGCAACGCATGAGCCACCTGACGAGTGTTACCCATGCCAACTCGTGCAAGCCGCCGAGAAACGCCCGTACTAGCTGCCAGGAACCAACGGTCATTATCCCCACTCGAACCGAGCATCATTCCTTGTCTTTGTTGGCCAAGTATCTCCCAACGATTCCCCATCACTTGGCCACCCTTTGGTCGATGTGTCTTCGCACCATTTATCGGTCTATGACTCGGCCACAATAGAGTCATAATCGATGTCATCGACTCAGGGGCTAACAAATCACCAAGATACTATGTTGGTACCCTATTGAACCCAAAGTATGAAACTCAGCCCTTTCCATCTTTTCCAGTCGTCTTTCTACTGCCATCGGTTTGCACTGGATGTCCCGATCCCCTATATGTAATGAAGATATTGTGATGCTTTAAGTCGATAAGGACTAATTGAGTATAACAATAACCAGAATACTTCTACTCGATAATAGAAACCATTTAGAGTTCTTAGGGATCTTGTCATATCACTAAACATTGTATCCTATTAAACTTGATCATGTCACAGGTTCGTACTTAATCCCATAGTCTTTCGTGCCTTAAATACCTAAGGATCCTCTTTGCTACCCGATGATGTACTTGAAACGGACTTTACATGAACATGTATAGAAAACTTGTGGTGTAATTCATGGCCTTGTAGCTAGCTGTAAGATAAAAAAATGCTTTCAGTTAGGCTCCTGTAGAGAAAACTATCCTCCTTTAGTAACTGATCTTCTTTTCTTAGTTTTTCATTAGTCACTGTAAGTGAAAATGTAGAACATTATAACCTATTAAATGATTGCGATTGTACATCACAAACTTATTTACATGCTACATTGTAGTTGATTAATGCTCCATATCCTTCGTGCATCTAGTACAAATGAGTGCACCTATTCCCTCTAAGGAAACTAGAGCAAAAGTTTAAGTATAGTCAACATACGTAGTAATTGAGAGTACAAGACTTGCCTTTCCAAATTTAGCCATATGGATTGAGTTTCTCAACCGATTTTTCCAATCGCTCCAACCGTCTTGTTTCTGACATCCTGATTTTCGCAAAGTATTGATGTGATCTCAACTTTGCTCCAGCGTAGCGTTTACGTAATCACTGCTTTACTAGCGAAGCGTTGGTGTTGGTGTTATCGCAACCTCGCTTTGATACCAATTGACGATGATTCGTAACATCTAACAATGATCTTGCCATGCCCATTATCGTTCTTTTCGTTCTCTCGGAAACAATATTTTGTTCAGGAGCGTAGACAACTATTAGTTTGTTTTCACTACATTATCTTCTATTGTTAAATGGACCAAAATGTATAATAAAATTAAGGGCCACTAACTTATCCCCATCTTGTGCAGCCCCCACTCCATTCTCTTGGCCCAACTTTGAGTTGTAGCCATTACATCATTTGATTTAATTGTTGCTGCAAGCACTCTTTTCGGTTCTTCTCTTTCTCTCACTATTTTTCCAGTCGAGAGTTAGTTTTTTTTTCTTTTTTTTTTTTGACGTTGGGCACTCTTCGATATATTCTGTGTGAAATTCGGAGCTTGAAAGTCTTCATCGTCTGCAATTCTGTGTGAATTGCTTCGTCGGGTTTTAATTTCTGCATCTATTTTAATATTTTTATTGTTCGAACCTTGTTATTTTCGTAATAGTTAAATTTGTAATGACTATGTTTAAATTGTCTTCTCCGGGCGGATACCCAATATAACTTGATTGGATTTAGCATTCACAAGTTTAATTGAGTTATTACTGATAAGATGGTCAAATATGAAGTTAGTTTTGATGATTTGCTGTTTACTTTGTCACTTTCCTCAAATATATAACTAGTGGTACGGGTGTAATAAAAATCCGTATATAATTTTTCAGGATGATTTCGGCTGCCTTGGGAATTCTTTTTGCGCGGTTTCTATTTGGTTTCTACAACCCATGCAAAGACATGTTTTCGTGCATCGGGGGACGGAAACAGGACATCAAAGATTTGTCGGGAAATCTTCGAGATCTCCTGACACATATTACGACCATCCAATCAAGGATGAAGAATCTCATTGATCCTGCTCTGGATAGTTCTGTCTCCAAAGAGAAGACGGACGAATACAAATTACTCGAGACGAATATCGAATTATTCAAGCAAGATTTCACCACCATCACTCAAAAGTGCCGTAAACTCAATGTAAACATTCCAAGTAGTGCTGGTGGTGCTTCTGACCTGGACGACATCGAAACTGTAAAAAAGTTACTGAAAGAACTCCAAGAGATGAAGCCAAAGATCCGCACGCGCAAGTTTTCGGATGTTGCTAAACTCAGCAGAGATGTCGTCAAGCTGAAAGATCGAGTGTCGAAGATAGTCGAAGGTATCAACAAAGACAATATGATAATGGAGATGAGAAGAGAAGAGATTCAGCTGGATGGTGCCAATATTCATATCCCAATCCAGAGTGAATATGTTAAGAGGATCGAGAACTATCTCCATGATCCGACGTCGAAGTTCATTGGCCTCGTGGGCTCGGTTGGGGTAGGGAAATCAATTGTGTTGGGCAAGTTGAAAAACCAACTACTAGATGGTACGATATTGTTCGACGGGGAGCAGATAGAACATGTCGTCCATATAGTTCTTCCGAAGGAAATTAACGACAATGCGTCGATTATTGAAAAGATACAGGATGGGGTTATGGAGCAGTTGGATCCCGGGCGAGAAAAATCGAGCAACACGAGTCGGAGATCTAGAGTTGGTGAACTGCTGCGTAACAAGAGATATGTGGTGCTCATTGATCAAGTTTTCGTAGCCGTTGATCTAAGGGAAGTGGGATTGCCGGAAGAAAACAAGTACGGGAAAGTTGTGTTTGCGTCTCGTAACAAAAAGGTTACCAACCAGATGTCCGACAGACAAGTCGAGATCGGCACACTCTTGGCGGATCAAGCGTTGGAGTTTTTCCGGAATGTGTACGGCGAGATCGAGCACAAACGCAAACATATTGCTAACTCGATAATCAAGTCTTGTGGAGGGCTACCGTTGGTGATCAAATTAGTAGCCGAACATTTGAAAGAGCCGGGGAGCTCGTGGGAAGATACGAATCGGGTTTTACAGGAAGATACGAAAAATCTTGACTTGCTCGGCCTGCAGGGAGTTGGTAGAGTTTACATGCTGGAGTACAATAAACTGCTCGACAAGGAAGAGGACAACAGAAAAAAATGCGTACTCTACGGCGCGTTGTTTCCGAGTGACAACTCGATCCACAAGGACTATTTGATCGAGTGTTGGATAGCCGAAGGCTTCATTAAAATCGAAAACACCAAAAAGCAGTTGGACGCGCGGGAACGTGGAGCGGCGGTTTTGAACTATCTTACGAACAAATACTTGCTGCAGTGGTGTTCCGACAAGCATGTGAAGATGCCGTTATACGGTCGACAGGTGGCGCTGAAACAAGGCTACCCGGGCGAGAAGAGCGGTCTGGTTTTGGCGCCACCACACAGTAGCGATGGTCTAACCGAAGAAATGTGGAAGAATGCAACTAGGATTTCGGCTATTTCTTCTGATTTAAAGCTACCTACAAAACCGAGAAGCAACAAAATGTGTACCTTATTACTGCAGAGGAAGCCCGATTTGGTAACAATCGGAGATTCATTCTTCACGCATATGGGAGCGCTTCGAGTTTTAGACTTTTACGAAACGAGGATCGAAAGACTGCCTAAATCCATCGGTGCGTTGAGAAATCTAGTGAGTTTGTATCTCAATGGTTGTTATAAATTGAAGAAGCTACCCGAAGAAATAAAGGGTCTCGTGAAGCTTGAGTTGCTCGATATTCGGGGAACTTCGATTCCGAGACTACCCAAGGAAATAGGCAACATGCCTTCCTTGAAATGTTTGAGAGTTTCGTTTGACCAAATAAAGTGTGACTGCAATAGTGAAAGATCCGACACGGATGCGATGATTCCAATTGAAATAATCGACGGTCTTAAACAGCTCGAAGAATTCACCATCGAGACGGGCTGCTGCGATAAAGGCTGGATTGATACCGCTAGTCGGGTTTGTGGTGGCGAACTCGCCAACTTGGAACAACTGACAACACTCGGTTTCCACTTTGCAACTGTATCCAGCTTCAATAAAACTTTTACCACAAGGGAATCGAGGGAAAACGCAACTCTGAGGTGCTTCAGAAAGTCAAAACAGGAATCCAGGGAAGATGAGAGCGTGCATCGTAAGATCAACGAGTTTCGGTCCTTCAAAATCTCGATTGGTTTTAGCAATCCGGAACATCCACATGGTTCGGATATCTCGGGAACCGAAAAGCAACTGAGGTTTCACCGCGAAGAAAGTTCTTGTTCGGATAACGATTTGACATTAGTAAAACAAGTTCTGAAGCAAGCCGAAGCTTTCGAACTAGTTGGTCGGGCCGGTGTTCAAAGTTTGAAATATTTTGGCTTTGAAAATACAGAATTTTTGGAAGTTTTGATCGTCGAATGCTGCAACGATTTAGAAAGAATTGGAGAAGAGAATAGTGCGACGACCACCGTATTCCAAAGCTTGAAGAAATTGCATTTATATAATCTCGACTCACTGAAATGTATTTGGGAAGGACCGATCTCCCCAGAAAGCTTTCCGAATTTGGAAACTCTAACAATTTGTGGATGCCCCGAGTTGACAAAGATTACGAATCATGACTTGGCAAAAGCTCTTTCGAGCTTAAAGCACGTTAAAGTCGAGAATTGTGCCAAACTTGTGGAGATTTTCTCCGAAGAGCCGGAGCAAGTTGAATGTAGGGAGATTGTCTCCGAAGGGCAAGTCGATGCGCTACACAAGTTGGAGACTATTGAACTGGTAAACTTGCCAGAGCTGCAGAGCATATACGCTACAAATTCGATAATAAACTTGATTTCACTGAGGAAAGTTACTATAAGAAGTTGCAACAAATTGAGAAAGCTGTCCTCGATTCTCACTAGTGCGGAGGAAAAGATAGAAGCGATAGAGTGCGAAGCTGGTTGGTGGGATGCACTTGAATTGTCAGAGGAAGAGAAGCAACATTTTCGCCCTCGTTGTGAATTTATAGCCATGGAGGGAAAACCGTCGTCTATTGAGGCGGCTAGTCCCGAAGGGGAGATGCCTTGCCCCGGAAGATCAGGTAATCGTGAGGGATCGGACGTTATTAATGGTGGCAATACGCCAAAAGATGATGTAATGCCAAGCAATGGTGTTTCAACTCAGCTGTCAACATCAAACACCAACGATCCAGCCAAAACTGAAATGCAACTTCCTCTTTCAGAAGAGAGATTGCCCAAAGTGGATCTTTCGATATCCACTCAATCGAATAAGTTCTGCCACCAGTTACCTAGAGGAGGGAGGGAAAAAGTTTCTGCTCGATAATTAATGTGGAAATATATAGGTGCATATAATGATTGAAGGTTACTGTTGATTTATATGCCTATGAAAATTTACTTGTTCTGTTGGGACAAATTACTTGTTATGATATTAGGTGTGGTAACAGAATTCTTGTGTGTATACATAATTAATCTACTAAAAGCAGAATAAAAGAACAAAAGAATTTAATGTGGTTTAGATACAAATGTACCAAAAATCCACGAGGAGTTGCAAACTAGTTCAGATTAAGTGTACAATATTGGAGTTAATAAAAAACTAAAGACTCCCTCTTTATGTTATACCGTTCTTGCACACGACTTCAACTTGTTAATATCAAAGCAATTCCTCCATCCGCACTATTGGACTCTCTCCAATGCTGAACTCCCTTCAGACGGTGGATCGACCTCTCCCGAGATTTTTTAAGCATTTCTCCTGAAACGCCGATCTTCTTTATGGCCTGGTAGAAGAAACCCGTCCTGTTGCCACAACTGATGTGTCGACAGGGCTGCAGCATTGGTTGCACCCTTCAAAGCCTTTATGCTAGGATTTTTCGATTAAAGCTCCATCGGACTCATATGATGTTGAGGGCCTTATATAGGCACCAAATTCACCACCCTAAACTTAACTTGAGTCCTAAGAAATCAATTTAACTAGGTAATATAATCCTAATCGATTTCTACTTCTATTCCAGATAAATACAAAAGATATCTGACTAGAATATAACACATAGAAATAAAACAAGAATGAAGTTTTCGTAATTTGACCATACCTCAAAGGTTACGTTTGATGTGTTCATACAACCTTTAAGATGTTACCGGGTCAAGGTAGTGCTGAACAAATGGGCGGTAAATCCGGCCGACCGCCCGCCGATCGTTTTTCACGGGCCGGACAAGGTTGGGTCGGCCCATGGAGATATTTTGAAGCCCAACACAGCCCTTTAGCACATGTTACACTATTTTTGTGGGCCTGACCCAGCCCTTCATAGTTTTTTAATTTGTGTTGGAGGTTAGTTCATTGACTTATGGGGTCGAATTTGAACCAATTTTTATTGAGACGAATTGAACACGAATTTTATCGAGTTCGAGTCTTTTGGTTTTTGTACATATTTTAAAGTTCTTTACTTTTGTTTTAATAATCGAATTCTACGTCGGGCCGAACTTAAAAGCTTATCGAATGAAAATGTGTAGGTGTGTTCAAACACCATTGATTATGTTAATGAATTAAGAGTTTTTTATGATCCGAAATCGCCAATAACGTGCAATAACTATAAGCATAAATATTATACGTAGGTTTCGAGAGGCCAAGATTAATTTTATGAGAATCAAATATTATAACTGTTTTTTTTTTTTGAGAAAAAAATATTATAACCAGTTTTGGTCTTTATACTATACACTTGGGTTAATAGCATTTCGCCACTTGAACTTTGCCTGTTTTTGCACTGTCACCTTAACTAAAAAAAGTTGCAAGAGCATACCCAAACTCACTTTTTTGACGCACATAACCAGTTAGGTGGAATATTCCGGCGAATTTTCTCATTTTCCGGCGCACGCGCGATGCGATACACATGCTTAATGGAAGGGTTGTTTGGTCATTTTATCTAAAAAAAATTGTGGACCCTCTTTTTACTCTTTCTTCTCCTCTCTCTCTCACCCACACACATACAAACATTCTCCCCCCATCATCATCATCATCATCATCATCTTCTTCTTCTTCTCTTCTTTCTCTGTGGTTTTCTCAAGAATCAATCTTTTCCCAAAAGAAATTCTGCGTTTGTGCAATGCTGTGATGGGAACTATGAAAGTATAGATCGTAGGTCTGATTCCATTTTTGACCATTTCTTCAATCATGTACAAAACCTCATCTACCTTAACAAGCACAAATTGATGTCCATTTTTTAGTATTTGTAAGTAAAAGAATAAATATATAGATATAGATAACTCCTATTGTTGTAAATATCATAAATTACACCGAAGATGGAGATTAAACGAATTAACCATAAGGTACACAACATAAAGCATATGGTACAAATTTATCAGCCCAGTATTATCAAGGATAAACAGCGTAAAATCCCCCTGTGTTAAGGAACACCTGCACCAAATCCGCCTGTGTTTTTTTTCTTGCGTAAAACCCCCTTGTGTTTTATTCCACTTTGCACGAAATCCCCTTTTCCGTTAAAAGTTAACACCGTTAACTATAGAGGGGATTTTGTGCAAGTTTTTTGTAACATAGGGGGATTTGGTGCATGGTTTTGCAACACAAGGGATGTCTACGCAAAATTAATTTATTCATTTAAAATTTAAATTATTTTCTTAAATTAAGTCTAATATATCTATTAATTTAAAATAACCAATAAAATAATACTCGAGATGGAACTTGGAACGAATTCTCAAATTATTTATGTTCTTTTCACATATAATTAATCACAAACAAATTATAAAATTAAATAATAATTCTAATACAATAATTATATAATTTAAAAAATCAAACTTCATACATTAATAAATTATATTATATAAAAATTGTTTTTTTTAAATACATTCACCACACCTATTAAATTTTCATTTTTTCATATTGTAACTGAATAAATGTGTCCAACTTAATTTCAGAAAATAATATGAAATTTAAACAAATAACTTAATTTTTGCATAAAATCCCCTTGTATTGTAGAAAATACGCACCAAATCCCCATGTATTACAAAAAACTTGTACAAAACCTCTCTATAGTTAACGACGTTAACTTTTAACGGAAAGTGGGATTTCGTGTAAAGTAAAATAAAACACAAGGGGGTTTTACGCAACAAAAAAAACACAAGGGATTTGGCGCAGATTTTCCTTAACACATGGGGGTTTTATGCTATTTATCCGTATTATCAAAGATGGAATTCACTATTTTGCCTATTTAAAAAAAAAAAAATTGGAGAAGAGGAAAAGCTTGTACCCGAGACAAAGTGACGGCAGTGTAAGCCAACTTGAGGCGGCTTTTAAGGAAGGCCTGATACTCCTCAGAATCTACAGGAATATTCGGGAGTGGGCCCACCGTCGCCGCCGCAATCTGTCGCCGCAGATTTTATCGTTACTATTGGAGTTGGCTTCGATCTCAACGACATCGTTGCGTTGTACGGTGGTGCTGTTGTGATCGGGGGAGGCGGCCTCCTGCAGGAACCGCTGGAATGCCCACTCCGATGATCTGCGATTCATCCCCATCATTTTCGACGAGGTCGCGGCGACTGCGACTAACGAAGATTGATTCTTGAGAAAAGCACAAAGAGAGAGAGAAAGAGAAGAAGAAGATGATGGGGAATGTCTGTATCACTGTATGTGCGTGGGAGTGCGAGAAAAAAAGAGAGAAAGAGAGAGGAGGAGAAGAAAGAGAAAAATACGCCCCACAAAATTTTTGAGTTGAAATGACCAAAATACTCTTCCATTAAGCATGTGCATTGCGCGTGCGCAGAAAAATGAGAAGATTCCCATGAATATTCCCTGTAGGTGGTTATGTGCCCAAAAAATGTAAGTTTTGGTATGCCCTTGCAACTTTTTCTAGTTAAGGTGGCAAAGTACAAAAACGGGCAAAATCCAGGTGGCGAAATGCTATTACCCCCTCCCCCTTTAATTTGGTATATATCTATTAATTTATAGATTGTTGTTGGGTGCTAAATACCAACACGCAAGTGCACGTATCGCAAACAAGTAATAAAGTGGACTCGTGAGAGTCGGATGTCGATCCCACAGGGAATACTCAAATTATCTAATCCTAAGTACCAAATTCTAACAACTATGATTTTTATCCAGCCTACGCAAGTTTGTCAAATTAAATCAATTAAACAATTAAACTAATTATGAAAGCAAATAAACACGAGAAAATATCAATAAAACGGACCTAGGATTTTATCTTCCCCCTATGCAAGAATTGCTCACCCAAAACTTCTCAATTATGAAATATATGATTCATGATTATTAACCCGAGACACTAATTTACTTATAACCCGCTGTCGCGTGTATTATGAGTCTATTATTCATAAACGATTCACTATATGTCTATGCAAACCAATTATAAATAAAGCATTAACTAACAAGTCTCGTAAATGGCTACCTAAGGTGATATCTGTATGTCTACGACACCACATGCAATTGACACACTCATTCGGTGAAAACTACTCGAAGGCTCTTCTACTTACCGTCTAATTATTAAAATAGCTCTGTCGAGTCAATCCTAATAATCACAGATAAAGCACATAAATTGATCAAGTTCATGCACTAACAATCATAACACGTAGAAGAAATAATCATAAAATCATAATTGCATAATCTCAAGAAAAAGGGTTCACCATCCCCACATAGGGTTCCAACAAAATCCTAGATTAAAAACTTAGCTACGCATGTTCGTTACGAAAAACATAATAAAAACATAAAAAGAATAGATTAAGAAAAGATAGGTAAAAGAAGAATTGTGATGAAGAGTTGTCAATTCTCCGTCTTCGATTCTTCGTTCTCTCGCTCCTCTCGCTCCAAGGTTGTGTCAAAAGTTTTTTTTTTCGTGCTTGGTTTGGGCTTAAATAGATGTCCCAACTTGGTAGATGATTCTAGGTTTCCTTGTGTGTTTAAAAGTCCAAAATTGTCTCCAGCGTGATTTGGCACGGCCGCGCGAAAATCAGTGCAATTCTCGCACGGCCGCGCGAGAATCGCCAAACCTTCTGCCCAAATTCAGCATTTGGCACGGCCGTGCCAGAAATAGGCTAATTTTGGCACGGCCGTGCGGGCCTGTTTTCAGCCAATTTTCAGCATATTTTTGATTATTTCACTTTTGGCCCATATTTTCTCCAAATTTGCAGTTTTGACCCCAAACTTTTCCAATTCTTCAATTTATACCTAAAATGCAATAAATCAACTTTTTAAGCACCAATTATCATTAAATCACACTACGATAAAGTGTAAAAATATACACTTAACACACCCCCAAACTTGATCTTTTGGTTGTCCTCAAGCAAAAACTAGCAACTTTCACAGCAACACTCTCAACAAATGCCTCTCATCACATAGATTAATGGTCAACTTTCATTTTTTCAGAACTTGCAATTATCATGACAATTCTCAAAAATTTACAAGCTCGTAATTCAAAGATACGTATTCACTCACCATTGCTAAAAACCACAAGCCATGCTATCGCTTCAAGTATCCCATATTTGTACATTAAAATTTGAGAAAATTTATACTTACATATTAATATTCAACTCCAAATACTCACCAAATTTCTTTACTCGGCTAGTATCAAATAATTGAGCTATTGGGATCATTGGGACTTTTTGGCTTTCAAATGTTGGGCTTTTTGGTTCGAGGTAGGAGATATGGGTATATGTGGCTATACTTCTTGAATTGAGGTGATTACGCCAAATTTTGAAAGATAGGCGTTTGAAACAATGAATTCACCTCTAAGGACTTTAATAAACTCGATTCTTAAGAGTTCAAAAGTCTCCACTTTTGCTCTTAAGACAATGGATCGAGCTTTCAAAACAACTCAACAACTAGTCCTTACTTCCCCTTCTAGTCTCTTCTTCTTCTTTCTCTTTTTTTTTTGTTTTCATTATTATTTTTTTTTTTATATATATATATTTTTTTTTATATTTCCTTTTTTTTTTCGAAGAAGAAGGACCTTAAAAAAAAAATTCGACCGAACTCCAAGGGTTAATTTTTAAAAAATCTCCACTTATTCTACCTTATACACATTGGCTAAAAGAAAGAACACCGTTTCTCCAAGGCTCAATCAAGGTTCGAATGATAAAAATTTAAAGGTAGGCTTGAAAGGCTCAAACGGTTCAAAGATGGCCCAAATCACTTCCCAAATTGCTCAACAATTTAATATTTCACTTTGTAAATTCATAAGACAAGTTCTAAAACCGAATAGCATATGATATAACATAAATTAACTCAAATTTAAAAACACAAAACTTTCAACCAAAGCAACACATAATTCGAGATTCCTAACAATGACTCCTTCTTACGACACTTTGAATCAAAAGCTCACCAAAACTCGATCAAAATCAAGATAAAACAAGCAATTTCATCATTAAACATCGACCATCTTTCATCATCATGATTCATCGAAGCATTTATCTCAAGAAAATTTTTTTTTTTTCGAAAGAAATAACAAAAATAAAATAACTCAAATAAGAAAAACTTAAGGCATGCAAACTAAAAAATTAAAGCACATAAAAACAAGTAATTTTCCACCCCCAAACTTAAAATTTACATTGCCCTCAATGTAATTAACACGAAGTTTAAGGATAGAATACACCTGAATAAGTCGTCTTGGCCATCTCCGGTTTTCTCTCCACCCTCGCCTTTATTACGCTTCTGTTGAGTTTCGCACGACCGTATGAGATTTTGAACTATTTTCCGCACGGCCGTGCGATTTGCTAAAATTGGGCAGTAACTTCCAGATTTTTCACACGGCCGTGTGAAATTAAGCCTTGTTTTGGGACGGCCGTATGAGCTGCAAATTTGCGATTTTTGGTCCTAAAAATTAAAAACATGTTTAATTTATTAGCTTGCATGCTTATAAAATAAATAAACAAAATAAAACAAGAAAAATAAATAAAATAAAATAAAAAACGAAAATCTCGGGTTGCCTCCCGAGAAGCGCTAAGTTTATAGTCTTCAGCCAGACTTTGTTCTTGCTCTTCAATTCCTTAGCTTTTGAACCCATCTCCGTACTTCCTTTTGGACAAAGTCTTGAATAAATGGGTTGATCCGATTCTTCTTTCGACTGGTTCGCTTAGGAATGCCCTTGAATTTATTCTTCTTGATGTCATGAGGCTCGCCAACATCATCTTTTATCACGGTGTTTTGAGTAGGTGTTGTAACCAACTCAACCTTTTTCTTTTGTTCTCCTACATGCACATTAGTATCCACAAAAAAATTTAAATTATGTAATTTAACAGGAAAAAGTTTATAATCACTTACCTCATCAAGAAGATAACATCCATTAGCCGTAATAGGCTTTTCATCCACCCGATACACCTTGAAGATCACCGTTTCGTCCCCCACACTCATTCTTAGCTCTCTCTTTCCTACATCAATAATTGATCTACCGGTCGCTAAGAAGGGGCGTCCTAAGATAAGGGGAATATTTTCATCTTCCTCTATGTCTAGTACTAGAAAATCGGCCGGGAGTATAAACTTATCTACCTTGACCAATACATCCTCCACTATACCCAAAGGGTGAGTAAAAGATCTATCGGCTAGCTGCAAGGTCACGGAAGTGGGCTTAATTTCTCCTAAGTTCAATTTCTCATAAATTGATAAAGGCATTAAATTTACGCTCGCCCCTTGATCACACAACGCCCGCCCAAAATACCTAGTACCTATTGTGCATGGAATGGTACAACTTCCCGGATCTCTAAGCTTCGGTGGGATTTTATTTGAAAGGATAGCACTACTTTGCTCATTTAAGTCTATTATTGCTGCACACTCCGGAAGCCTCATCTTCTTCGATACAAGTTCTTTTATAAACTTAACCCAATTCGGCATATGCTTAAGTGCCTCAACAAAAGGAATATTAACATGCAACTTTTTAAGATAATCCAAAAATAACTGAAATTGCATATCAAGCTTGGAGTTTTGAAAACGTTGAGGGAAGGGTACCTTGGGAGTAGATTCACTTACTGCGATCTTTGTGTTGCTTGGCCCGACCTCGGTCTTTTCTTTGGGCTCCTCTACAATAGGCGGTGGTGCAACGGACTTTTTAGGACCTTCTTCTAATTGCCTCCCATTTCGCAAAGTTACTGCATTGCACTGCTCGATGTTGCTCTTTCGAGGATCTTCCGTATTCGACGGCAGTGCTCCCGACGGCCTCGCGTTTAGTTGGGTTGCAAGTTGACCCATCTGTGTTTCCAAATTTCGGATGGCGGCTTGAGTGGTTGTCATAAATTGCGCCAAGATATTTGCGAGATCTCCACCTTGAGGTTGAGCTTGAGGCGGTGTTTGCCTTTGTCCTTGCTGATTTCCTCCCCATCCAAAATTGGGGTGATCTTTCCATCCCGGATTATAGGTGTTGGAGTACGGGTTCCTCTGTTGTCGGTTGGTGTCATTCACGTAATTTAGAGACTCCGTTTCGTCTAAGCACTGGTTGGGACCGTTGATTGCATGGACTTGCTGAGTCTGTAAAGATGCTACTTGCTTTGTTAGCTTTTCTAACTGGACCGTGATTGCAGTGACCCCGTCTAACTCCAAAATTCCTCCCGTCTTTATGGCTCCGCTATTTGACCGGTCCGATGCCCGCATGTATTTATTCCTAGCGATTCGCTCCAAAAGTTCGTATGCTTCGTCATAGGTCAAGCTCATGAACATACCGCCAGCTGCTGAATCGAGCACCGTTCTCGAATTATCTTGCAACCTGTCATAAAATATTTGAAGTTGCCGCCACTCTTGAAGACCATGATTGGGGCATCTCCGAATTAATTGTTTGAACCGCTCCCACGTCTCGAATAACGCTTCACCGGCATCTTGTATGAAATTTTGTATTTCTCTCCGGATTCTCTCAGTTTTTGTTGGGGAGTTGTATGTGTTCATGAAGAGTTGTGCTAGTTGGGGCCAAGATGAGATGGAGTGCGGTGCACGAGTTTGTAACCATTCTCGGGCTGCTCCTTTCAAAGAGTGCTTGAAAAGGCGGAGTTGCAGTGCTTCAGGAGATACTCCGTTCATCTTGTGCGAATCACACGTTTCGAGAAAATTGACCAAGTGGAGATGCGGATCTTCATGAGCTAATCCGCTGAACAACCCATTGTTTTGGAGCATAGTAAGGAGTCCCGCTCGAATTTCGAAATTGTTGGCTTCAATGGGGGGCTGCTGGATGCTCGATTGAAACCCATTGAGTGTTGGAACGGTGTACTCATGCAATGCTCGTTGACGAGGTGGTGGATTAATTAGCAGAAGTTGCTCTTGCTCGTTGACGATATTTCCTTCCGCATTCGGTAGGCGCCCTTGGTCATCTCCCCTACGATTATTCTCTTCTTCCATTCGCATAAAAAGTACCTAAAAAAAAAATAATTAAACAAAATAAATAAAACGGCTGAAGTAAGAAAAATTGCTCAAATTTAATATTAGGATAAATAGATAATTTAGCCGTATTCCCCGGCAACGGCGCCAAAAACTTGTTGGGTGCTAAATACCAACACGCAAGTGCACGTATCGCAAACAAGTAATAAAGTGGACTCGTGAGAGTCGGATGTCGATCCCACAGGGAATACTCAAATTATCTAATCCTAAGTACCAAATTCTAACAACTATGATTTTTATCCAGCCTACGCAAGTTTGTCAAATTAAATCAATTAAACAATTAAACTAATTACGAAAGCAAATAAACACGAGAAAATATCAATAAAACGGACCTAGGATTTTATCTTCCCCCTATGCAAGAATTGCTCACCCAAAACTTCTCAATTATGAAATATATGATTCATGATTATTAACCCGAGACACTAATTTACTTATAACCCGCTGTCGCGTGTATTATGAGTCTATTATTCATAAACGATTCACTATATGTCTATGCAAACCAATTATAAATAAAGCATTAACTAACAAGTCTCGTAAATGGCTACCTAAGGTGATATCTGTATGTCTACGACACCACATGCAATTGACACACTCATTCGGTGAAAACTACTCGAGGGCTCTTCTACTTACCGTCTAATTATTAAAATAGCTCTGTCGAGTCAATCCTAATAATCACAGATAAAGCACATAAATTGATCAAGTTCATGCACTAACAATCATAACACGTAGAAGAAATAATCATAAAATCATAATTGCATAATCTCAAGAAAAAGGGTTCACCATCCCCACATAGGGTTCCAACAAAATCCTAGATTAAAAACTTAGCTACGCATGTTCGTTACGAAAAACATAATAAAAACATAAAAAGAATAGATTAAGAAAAGATAGGTAAAAGAAGAATTGTGATGAAGAGTTGTCAATTCTCCGTCTTCGATTCTTCGTTCTCTCGCTCCTCTCGCTCCAAGGTTGTGTCAAAAGTTTTTTTTTTCGTGCTTGGTTTGGGCTTAAATAGATGTCCCAACTTGGTAGATGATTCTAGGTTTCCTTGTGTGTTTAAAAGTCCAAAATTGTCTCCAGCGTGATTTGGCACGGCCGCGCGAAAATCAGTGCAATTCTCGCATGGCCGCGCGAGAATCGCCAAACCTTCTGCCCAAATTCAGCATTTGGCACGGCCGTGCCAAAAATAGGCTAATTTTGGCACGGCCGTGCGGGCCTGTTTTCAGCCAATTTTCAGCATATTTTTGATTATTTCACTTTTGGCCCATATTTTCTCCAAATTTGCAGTTTTGACCCCAAACTTTTCCAATTCTTCAATTTATACCTAAAATGCAATAAATCAACTTTTTAAGCACCAATTATCATTAAATCACACCAAAAGCTCAAATAAAAATATACGATAAAGTGTAAAAATATACACTTAACAATTGTCATCCCCCCAAAGTTTATTTTATGCATTTTTAGTGCAATTTTTTTTTTCCATAAATCACTCTATATTTTAGCCTCCAACACAAAACCACAAGGTCCGCCCCTGCCTCATGGCCATAAGAAAAAAACATTCCCCTCAGGGATGCAACTTCTCTTGTTTTTCTTTTATTTTTCCACGCTGTCATTGCCGGAAAGTCCTATTTGGGGCAACGTGCAACTATAACAAAATTTTGAAGGGGAAGAGTCTCATTTTTTAATTTGTAGGGGAAAAGTGCGAGAACTATAAATTTCTAGGGGGCGAAGTGCATTTTTTCCTTAATATAATAGAGGGTAAGAAATGCAATTAAGTAAAAATCCAACAGTAAAACATCGGGAAAGTTACAATTTCCATCCTTCAAGTTTGCTCCAATTTTATATTTGACCCCCCGTGTTCACAAAACATATTTGGTCCAATTTTAGTCATTTCCGTCAATTTTTCGTTAATACTAACGGAATCACATGTGTGCCTATTATTGCTTTAACTGACGGACTAACGGTAAATTGACGGAAATTACCAAAAGTGTCAAATTATTCAAACATGAGGAACCAAATGTGTCTTTTTGTGAACATGAAGTACCAAATGTAAAATTAATGCAAACTTAAAGGATGAAAACTGTAATTTTTCCATAAAATATCTCTATAATTGCCCTATTGAAATATTTGCTGGCAATAGTATTCAAAATTAAAGCTACACCAAAGACCAATAATTCATATGGCCATACATTTCCACCAAATACCAATAATTCATATGTCCAATAAACAATGCCGGCTCAAGTTTCAATGAGTGTAAATGCTTGAAAATGACATGTGTCACGAAAAAGTATGTAATTTTTAAATTCCCAATTTCAATTATTACGCAATTTCTGGTAAACCCAATAAACTATATATATAAGTTAGAAAAATAAACATAAGGTCTAGAAACTAAAAAATATATTATGACAAATTCCATAATCATACTTTCTCTATTTATCTTTTCTTCTTTAGCCTTACTTACGAACCAAACAGATGTACTTTCATTGCTTGCTTTCAAAGAAGCTATAGACGTCGATCCAAACGGCGCTCTAAACTCGTGGAATCGAACGACAAACTTTTGCAGATGGAACGGAATCACATGCGGTCGTAAGCACCCGAATCGAGTTGTCGCCATAAACTTGGATTCTCAAGGCTTGATTGGATCACTCTCACCTCATATAGGTAATCTTTCCTTTCTCCGAACCATCAGTCTTCAAAACAACGGCTTCAGTGGCCGAATTCCACAAGAAATCGGACAACTACAGCGACTCGAGAGTATACTATTTAGTAATAATTCTTTCAATGGCATTATACCTAGAAATATATCCCAATGTAGAAACCTAGTTTATCTTTACTTGATAGACAACAATCTCTCCGGAAATATACCCTCCGAGCTCGGCCTTTTGTACAAACTCGAACTTTTAAGCTTGACGAGGAACACACTTTTAGGGCCTATCCCTCAATCTATAGGAAACCTAACATCTCTACAAAGACTTTCTTTAAGGTCTTGCGGTTTGATCGGAGAAATCCCGGAATCTTTTTCTCGTCTTCGTAGACTAATTTTTATTCAAATAGGCGAAAACAATCTCACCGGCCCAATTCCGACTAGTTTATTCAATATCTCTACTATAGAATTTTTAGGAGTTTCGTTTAATGGTTTTCGAGGATCTATACCTTCTACTATAGGACTCACTCTGCCTAACTTACAACTCCTTTACATGGGTTCGAATCGACTTAGTGGGCGTTTTCCGGTTTCCATCTCGAACGCTTCCTCTCTCCAAGAGTTGGTTTTTCCAATCAATTACTTTAGTGGTCCCTTGCCGAGTTTCGAAGGGCTTTCGCAACTACAACTCTTGTACGCTGCGGATAACAACATTGAAGACAATGTTAGTTCGATCATTTCTTCATTGACAAATTGCACGAACTTACGAGGTCTCGATTTAAGTATAAATCCATTGAGAGGTTCGCTACCGGAAACCATAGGCAATCTCTCGATCAATCTTGATCATATAGGGCTTGCTAGTACAGGAATATACGGAAAAATTCCGAACGGTATAGGAAATCTTGTTAAGCTCACTTACTTGTATTTTTATGACAACAATCTCGAAGGTCCTTTACCTTTGAGTATCGGAAAACTTTCTATTTTGGGTATTCTCTTCTTGTCCGAAAATAGATTCTCGGGCGAAATACCATCTATATTCGGAAACTTGAGCTTGTTGACTAATTTGTACATGCAAGGAAACAACTTTTCGGGAGCTATACCTAAGAGTATCGGTAACAACTCTAACTTGCTAGAATTACATATGTCCCGTAATAATCTTAGTGGCTTCATACCTCAAGAGCTTATGAATCTTTCCTCGATTTCTATTTCATTGGATTTGTCTTACAATGCGTTTACGGGTTCGATTCCGGTTGAAGTCGGATCTTTGAGAAACCTGGCAAGCTTAGATTTATCCAACAATAGATTGTCCGGACTTATTCCAAACTCTTTAGGAACGTGCATTAGCTTGGGACAACTTTACCTGCAGGGTAATTTATTCGAAGGACAAATACCTCGGGGACTAAGTTCTCTGACGGGATTAGTCGATTTGGATCTTTCGCGGAATAATTTATCCGGGACAATCCCAAGTTTCTTCGGTACTCTACGTCTCCAACAATTGAATCTCTCTTTCAATATGTTGCAAGGACAAGTGCCGACGACTGGAGTGTTTGAAAATAAGACTGCGAATTCTCTACAAGGAAACAAAGACTTGTGCGGAGGAGTTCTCGAGTTGGGACTTTCTCCTTGCACTTCTTCATCGGTTTCCTCGAAGAAGAAAAACTTATCCACTCCACTCAAAATCGCGATCCCATTAATAGTAGGAGTTGCAACAATTATGTCCCTCGTCGTTTTTCTTCACTGGAGAAGAACATCTAACAAAAGTCCGCCTTCTCCGGAATTATTAGCTGGCATCCCTTTCTTGAGGCTTTCGTATTCCGATCTACTTAAAGCAACGGGCGGATTCGCCGAGACTAGCCTTGTAGGTGTCGGAAGTTTTGGATCTGTTTACAAAGGCATTCTAGATGACGGGATGAAAACGATCGCTGTGAAAGTGCTGAATCTTGTGGTGAGAGGGGCATCTAAGAGCTTCATGGCGGAATGCAATGCGCTTAGAGACATAAGACACAGAAATCTCGTGAAAATATTGAGTGTTTGTGAGAGCATAGACTTCCAAGGAAACGACTTCAAAGCGATTGTTTATGAGTTTAAGGCTAACTGGAGTTTAGATAAGTGGTTGTACTACAATGGGGAACAAGAACAAGAATCCGACCCACAACTTAGGAATCTCGATTTGATCGAGAGGCTTAATATTGCCATTGATATTGCTATGGCACTCGAATATCTCCATTGTGGTACTGAATCGACGATCGTTCACGGTGATTTGAAGCCGAGTAACATTCTTTTAGATGAAGATATGATGGCCTGCGTCGGTGATTTCGGTCTAGCCAAGATTATTTCAAGCGTACATCCACCACACGAAAGTAGCAGCACAATTGGAATAAAGGGTACCATTGGCTATGTTCCTCCAGGTATATTTTTCGTTGGGGAAAAATACAGTTTTTGTCCCTCAGGTTTGCACCGATTTCACATTTGGTCCACCCCATGTTCATAAAAAACACATTTGGTCCCTCACATATAAAAAATTCAACACTTTTAGTCCTTTCCGTCAATTTTCCATTCAAAATAACGGAATAAAACACGTGCCCATCACTACCGTAAATGACGGACTAACCGTAAATTGACAGAAATGACCAAAAGTGTCAAATTATTGAAACACGAGGGACCAAATGTGTTTTTTGTGAATATGGGGACCAAATGTGATACAAACTTGAGGGATGAAAGCTATAAATTTCTCATTTTCGTTGCGTTATAGATTTATAGTTTATAAAACCACCATATTATATCGACTTAACATGTATTTGCAGAATATGGCACGAGTAACACGGTGTCGGAAAAAGGCGACGTGTATAGTTATGGAATCCTTGTCTTGGAGATGTTTACGAATAAAAGACCGACAGACGATTCATTTATGGATGGCGTCAATCTTCGCAATTTTGTTGAAGCTGCATTGCCGGATTGCGTAATGGAAATTGTGGATCCTCTCATTCGAATAGGCCCTCGCCAGAATAACAGTAAATTCGAGGATTGCATGTGTTCTATTATGAGCATTGGTTTGTCGTGTTCGATGGAAATGCCGAGGGAGAGGAAGCCCATGACGGATGTTGTTAATGAATTGCATAAGATTCAAAAAGAATTATGTGGCTAGCCAAGAACAGATTCGAAGTCTCTTTTTTTCGTGTTTTTTTTTTTTTTTTTATTCAATTAAAAAATGTTTCTGATTTGTTGTTATTGTGATGTTTCATTACTTTATGGGGGATAATTACACTTTTCGTCCCTATACATTACCACTTAAACGATTTTCGGCCCTAAACAAGATGAAGTTACAATTTTTGTCCCTAAACATGTCACTTTTATGCCGTTTCTGTCCCTCCGTCCATTTGTCCAGTTAGTTTGGACGGAAAATCGCACGTGCGCCGCACGTGACACACAAAATCACCTCTACACCTCAAAACGTTCAATCACGCATTAGTATTTAATAAACTTATAGTATTAGGTTCCACCCCTTCAGTCTTCATTTTCTCGACGATTTTTTCCATCCCACTAATATCATTGGACAACCCTTTGGCACTTGTCAAAACGTGGTAAGTGAAGTATGATGGCTTGATATTTTCTTTCTCCATCAACGACAAAACGTCAGAAATTTTCTTGTTGTCGGTTCTCTTGTACAGAAGTAACAACTGATTGCAAGAAAAGCATGTAACAGGGAATAAGCTCTTCATTTTGTTGAAGAAATCTTCGGATTTCTTCACATTGCCTGTAGAGACGCAGTTTGCCAGTAGGGTACGGTAGACAATTTCACCTCTAAAAGATTCGGGGATTCGCTTAATGTACTCTTCTGCCTTGGGTATACCATGGACTTTGACGATTAAATCAACACGAGAGGCGTAATTACTCTCGTTAAACTCAAGGAGCTTTGTCTGCTCCAACCACTCCGACATCTACAAAAAATATAAAGTGGAAAAGTTAATTCCCCATCCAAATCTCATATATCCAGAGACAAATACATGCATATTGCATCAGCCAACTTATAAAAGTAGAAAAACTTTATACGATGCCCATGCAAAAGAAACCGATACAATCGGAGCACCCAGTACAGCCTTTGTGAATGCTGAATGAGGATTAGTTTTGGGAAAACTTTTCTTTTCAGCATCACCCTCAGTAGTGACACTCTCACCCTCGTACAGATCTGATTCAGACATTGAATCATCTACGTCGTCTGCAGAAGCAGCTTTTCGGACTGCACCAAGTGGAGCTTCGAGTTCGGAAAAAGCATCCTCCAAATCATCATCTTGCTCGACTCTGCTCTTTGCACCGGCTTTTGAAAAAAGAGTGCGTACATTCATATACGAGTTTGAAGAGCTTGGTGATGCGTTGAAAGATCTCGTTGAACACACCGATGCATCTAACAGGTTTCTATGAGATTCCACAATTTCGGTATTATAGTTTTCGGAGTAACATATTGTTGTATCTGATTTCACAGAGCGAATTCGAGCAATCCCTGAATTTAATCCTCAATTCCTGGAGAGAGAGAAAGAGATGTTTTACACGATATCACAATAATGACATTACAATAAGCCACCTAATTTCAAACTAAAGTCAGATAGGAATACATAAATTAACAGAGACATCATAAATAATTAAATCTGCAGGTCGAGACAAAATCAAGATTGGGTTTCATCATAAATTGCTCTGCTTTTTATTAATGGAACAGACTTATTTTGAGGTGTAGAGGTGTTTTTGTGTGTCACGTGCGGCGCACGTGCGATTTTCCGTCCAAACTAACTGGACAAATGGACGGAGGGACAGAAACGGCATAAAAGTGACATGTTTAGGGACGAAAATTGTAACTTCATCTTGTTTAGGGACGAAAATCGTTTAAGTGCTAATGTATAGGGACGAAAAGTGTAATTATCCCACTTTATGGAGTTGAGTTAGTGCAAAGATTTTAAGTGTTTATGCTCAAATTTTCATTAGTCCAATGGCTTTTTTCTTTTTTTTTTGAAATTTAAAATTAGAAAACAGAGGAAAAGATTTAGTTAGTGATAAAATTTGGAGGGGGAAAATACAATTTTTATCCCTCAAGTTTGCACCGATTTCACATTTGGTCCCTCATGTTTACAAAAAACACATTTGGTCCCTTATGTTAAAAAAATCAACACTTTTAGTCATTTCCATCAATTTTCCGTTATTACCAACGGAATCAAGCGTGTGGCCATCACTGCAAGTTAACGGTAAAATAACGATGATGACCAAAAGTGTTAAATTATTGAAACATGAGGGACCAAATTTGAAGTATTTGTGTTCAAATTGTCAAAGTGGGAATAGAAAGAGAAAAGCGGAGGGTCAGAGAAGAGCGTGGGAAGAGGATGGAGGGGAAAAGAGAACCCAAAACATATGGAAGAACCCATGACCGTTTGCCTACGTAGCACGGAAACTTCAACTTGTTAACGTTTCCGCGTTTTTTTGTTTTTGTTTTAATAATTGTTTAAACTGGGAGATGTGGCGTTTTTGTAATTTCAGAACTTAGATCAAACGGCGTTAAGGTCAAATGTCTGACAACTAACATCAATGCCCACATTGAGACAACTTTTCAAGTACAGGAGGGCAAATCGATGCAATTAAAAGTAGAAGGAGATAAAGTGATACCGAACCAAAGTACAAGGGGGAAAAGTAGAATTTACCGTAAAATTAATTGAAGGCGCATATTATTTATTACAACTCAATTATATATTTCTTACTAGTCATCCATCATCCATCATTAATGCTATTACTGTTTCTCATATATACACACTTAGCCATAATTACAACTTATGCCCACCGGCGACCAAAATGGATTTATTGTGCATACTGATTAATTCAATTCAGCTCAATTATACACTTCTTACAAAGTCATACACCATTAATGCTAATGTATTTTTTCATATGCACTATACGGGACGTTAGATGCTACACTTGATTATTTATATCGGGTGGATTTGTATTGTGTATTTGATTAAAAAAAAACTACCCACTAAGCACACATATACACGGATGTGTGTATGTGTGATTATGTGTAGATCTATGGTTCAAATACATGCAGTGTAAATAACCGGGTGTAGCATCTAATTTCGGTGCACAATAAATATAGATACAACTTAACTCCTTTGACCTTCCTTCTCCACATGGCCTGTCCACGGCATGAAGCACTAATCAATTCGATAATTTTTAGGGGTCTCCAAATTTTGGGTTAATTGCATTTTGCACCCCAAAAAAGTATGGATTGGCATTTTGCACCCTTAAGTTTGAAATTAACAAAATGTACCCTCAAATTGCATAAATTATGGCAAAATGCACCCTACAACTGTTTCTTGTGAGATTTGAAGGAAAAGATAAATATATCATGATGCTTTAAAATTTAAAAAGTTAACTGACATTAATTTAGGACAAACAAAAGCTTATTTGTACAAACAATATTAAGATATCATTAAATGTGAGTTTAGAATGTAACTACACAATTAATTAATTATTCATATTTAAAAAAATTACAATAAATCACTTAAAGTATATTACATTAATACTAATGTTAATAATGTACATGTTCTTTGGAGCATATTATTACAACCTTTTGAATTAGTTACAAAAATAGCGAATTGTATAAAAAAAATCATTAAGTTCATATATAAATTCGATTTTGACACGAAAAACTAACAAAAATAAATCATTAATTCTTCCTTTGTGTTTCACTTATAATATAATGAAATGATAATTTAAAAATATAAAGTAGAAAAAAAATACACAACCAAGAAAGAATATATTTAAATGATAAAATATCGCAGTATATTGATCCTTCTGTTAAAATATCACAAGAGAGAGGTGTAGGGTGCATTTTGCCATGAGATATACGTAGTTAATTTTGGTCAAAAAGGATATTTGTAGTTTTATGTTTTTGTTTTAATTGTTATATTATTGATTCCACTTTCTTCGCATATTATTGATGAATTATTTTCTTCAATATTCGCTCTCTAATAATTTAAGCCACGGTCCAATTATTGATTATGATGTGTCGTCTGACTTGGAAAACTTGGGCGAAATACCAAAACAGTTATTAATGCGTTGACATGGAAATTCATATACACTGTGCATGCCATTCACTACTATGCAATTAATGGGTTATAATTTCCATCCCAAGTTTGCACCGATTTCATATTTGGTCTCTCATATTAAAAAAAAACACATTAGATTCCTTATGTTTTAATAATTTAACACTTTTGGTCCTCTCCGTCAATTTACTGTTAGTCCGTCAGTTAAGGCAGTGATGGACACACGTTTGAATTTATGTTTGAATTTCTTAATTCTAACAGAAAATTGACGAAAATGACTAAAAACGTTGCATTTCTTAAACATGAGGGACTGAATGTGTTTTTTGTGAACACGAGGGACCAAATGTGAAATCGATGCAAACTTGAGGGATACAAACTGTATTTTTCCCTACAACTAATATATATACATGCCAAAAACCAAGTAAAAAAGCATCACCATTCCAAAAACAATGGCAAAATCAATCACTATCTTTTCCTTTTTCTTTTTCTCTTTTATTGTCTTATATAGTCCAGCAACATGTTTCAGAAGTAACCAAACAGATTTACTTTCATTGCTTGCCTTGAAAGAAGCCATAAATGCCGATCCAAACGGAGCACTAAACTCGTGGAATCGAACGACAAACTTTTGCGCGTGGAACGGAGTCACATGCGGTCGCAGGCACCCGAATCGAGTTGTTGCCATAAAGTTGGGCTCTCAAGGCTTGATTGGATCACTCTCACCTCATATAGGTAATCTCTCATTCCTTAGAGAAATCAATCTCCAAAACAATAGTTTCAGCGGCCGAATTCCCCAGGAAATCGGCCTTTTAAGACGACTTGAGTATATAGAGTTTAGCAACAATTCTTTCACGGGAAGAATAATGCCCAAAAATATTACCCAATGGAAGAATCTAGTTTATCTTAATTTGATAGACAACAATCTCTCTGGACCTATACCTTCGGAAATCCAATTTTCGGAGAAACTAAGATATCTAGGCTTGGCTAAGAACAAAATTTCGGGAGTAATCCCTCGATTTATTGGAAATCTAACATCTCTAAGAACCCTTTATTTAAGGTTTTGCGATTTGGAAGGAGAAATTCCGGAGTCCATTTCCCAACTTACGAGGCTAAGTAATCTTAATCTGGGTGACAACAATCTCACAGGCACCATTCCTTCAAGTTTGTTCAATATATCCACTATTGAGCGATTTGTAGTTGATTTTAATGGTCTTCACGGATCCATACCCTCTACTATAGGCCTCACTCTCCCTAATTTGAGTTTTCTTAGTTTGGGGAGGAATCGATTTAGTGGAAGGGTTCCAATTTCAATATCGAACGCTTCTTCACTTGAGTCTTTGGTGTTATCATTCAACGATTTTACCGGGCCAATGCCAATGTTCGGAGGTCTTTCCCGGTTTAGTTCCTTATACGCCGCAAAAACCTTAGTTGAAGATGATTTTAGTTTCGTTTCATCGCTCACGAATTGCACGAACCTACGTTCTTTTGATCTTTCGAGCCCATTCATTAGTGGTCAAATCCCAGAAAGCATCGGAAATCTTTCAGTTAACCTTGCCGCTATAAGGATTAGTGATACCCAACTACGAGGAAAAATTCCATCGGGTATCGGAAACCTCGTTGGTCTCACTTACTTGTATCTTGTTAACCATTATCTTGAGGGTCCTTTACCTTCGGAGATTGGGAAACTTTTTAATCTGAATATTCTCAACTTGGCACAAAATAGGTTTACGGGTGACATACCGTCTATATTCGGAAACTTGAGTTCGATTACTAAATTAAACTTGTACGAAAACAATTTTTCCGGAGCTATTCCTAAGAGCCTTGGTAACTGCACAAACATGCTAGAGTTAAATCTTTTGAGAAACAATTTAACTGGCCCCATACCTCAAGAGATTCTTATTTCCACCATTTCTATTTCATTGGATCTATCTCACAATGCATTGACGGGTTCGATTCCATCTCAAGTCGGATCTTTGTCGAGCCTAGTTATGTTAGATTTCTCCAACAATAGATTGTCTGGACTTATTCCGAACTCTTTAGGAACGTGCATTAGCTTGGAACGACTTTACCTTGAGGGTAATTTATTCGAAGGACAAATACCGCAGGGTCTAAGTCCTCTGACGGGCTTAACATATTTGGATCTTTCGCGAAATAATTTATCCGGGACAATCCCAAGTTTTCTTGGCTTGTTACGACTTGAGCAATTGAATCTATCGTTCAATATGTTGCAAGGACAAGTGCCAACAACCGGAGTGTTAAGAAATAAGACCATAACTTCCCTACAAGGTAACGAAGAATTATGTGGAGGAATTCTTGAGCTAGACCTTCCTCGTTGCACTACATCTTCCTCGAAGAAAAACTTATCAACCCCACTCAAAATCGCGATCCCAATAGTTGGAGTTGCAGCATTGCTATGCATCATCATTTTTCTATACAAGAGAGGAACACACAAAAAAGTTTTGCCTTCTCTACCATCATTTATGGGTACGCAATTCTTGAGGCTTTCCTATTCCGATCTACTTAAAGCGACGGGTGGATTTGCCGAGACTAGCCTAGTGGGGGCCGGAAGTTTTGGATATGTTTACAAAGGTGTACTTGACGATGGAGTGACGGTTATAGCTGTGAAAGTGCTTAATCTTGTTGTGAAAGGGGCCTCTAAGAGCTTCTTGGCGGAATGCAATTCTCTAAGAGGCATACGTCACAGGAATCTCGTGAAAATATTGAGTGTGTGTGAGAGCATAGACTTCCAAGGAAACGATTTCAAAGCGTTGGTGTACGAATTTAAGGCTAACGGGAGTTTGGATAAATGGTTGTACTACAACGGTGAACAAGAAGAGGGATCCGATGCACAACTTAGAAATCTCGATTTGATTGAGAGGCTCGATATCGCCATCGATGTTGCTCATGCACTGGAGTATCTCCATTCCGGTATTGGTTCGGTAATTGTTCATGGAGATTTGAAGCCGAGTAATATTCTTTTAGATGAAGACATGACTGCTTGTGTCGGTGATTTCGGATTGTCCAAGATTGTTTCGAGTGTACTTCCACCGCGTGAAAATAGCAGCACAATTGGGATCAAGGGTACAATTGGCTATGTCCCTCCAGGTATATTTGATTTTAATCATCTCATCTTCATAGTTTTGTATGAGAACAAAATGCACTTCACCCCCTATAACTTTCCGATTTTCGCACTTTCCCCCCTAAAAATTCAAAAAGGGAATATTATTTTGGTTGCACTTTGCCCATAAGCCAATTTTGGAGGACATTGTGCAACAAAAGTAACAATTTAAATGGGCAATGTGTAGCAAAAATAACATTTAAAGAGGCAACGTGCAACAAAAATACTCAATTCCGATGAATAGTCCATCGGAGTTTTGCTATTTGGGCAACGTGCAACAAGAATAACATTTTCAAGGGAAACATTCACTTTTAAACATTTTTAGGGGGTAAAGTGCGAAAATTAGAAATTTACAGGGGGCGATGTGCAATTTGCCCTTCATATTAACCAAATTATATGTCGTTTGCCGTTAATATCTTCAAACGTATGTGCAGAGTATGGGATGAGTAACGCGATCTCAACAGAGGGGGATGTGTATAGCTATGGCATCCTCATATTGGAGATGTTCACAAATAAAAAGCCAACAGACGATTCGTTCATGGATCATGCCAATCTTCACAATTTTGTTAATGCTGCGTTGCCGGATCATGTGATGGAAATTTTGGACCCCCTCGTTCGCATTGGCCCTCGCGAGAATAACAATAAGTTCGAGGATTGCATGTCTTGCATTCTAAATATTGGAGTGTTGTGTTCGAAGGAAATGCCGAGAGACAGGATTTCTATGTCGGATGTTGTTAGTGAATTGCGTAAAATTCAAAAAGAATTATCTTGCTAGTTGAAGAACAAAATTTGCTGATTGATCTTGTGTTCCCTTCTCTTTCTTTTTTTCTATGTCATGTAATTTTTTGTTTAAAAGAAGTGTGTAAGAGTAAGCTTATCGAAATAAAATGTTTAGTATCTTTACGTGTATGATCCTCACAAAAAAGGAGAAACTCGGAGGGAATAAGAAGCTTTTAATAGTTCGCAAACTACAAAAATATCTTGTTACAAAAACGTTATTCTTTAGCCACAAATACTATATTTGTTGCTAAAATAGAACTATTGGCAACAAAATTAATTTCGCCGATAAAACAATCATTGCCCATTTTGTATTTTCTCGTAGTGAGAGTCTTAAATCACACCTGGCACCATATGGGACGAGCTTGAACTTGAAACTGTTGGCAGGGGGTTATTTCTCTAAGAGCAAACAAGGGCTTTTTGTTTTTTACACAATTGTTAATCCGAAAAGTTCACAAACCTAGGGCTAGAACAATGTTATTGGAAAACACAATTTTGGGAGCAAAATTGAAATTTAAAATTGTTTTGGGGCTGGAAAATAATTAAAAAATTAAAGTATTAGTTATATTAAGTATAGTAAAAAAAATTGATTAATATTTAATTTTCACAAATAAAATGCCAAATATATATATATTATATAATAAATCAAAAAAGTAAAAAGAAAACTCTATTTTATTTATTTTTAAACTCAATCAAAATTTTATTTAGAAACAAATCCCAACATCCCCACCGGCGACAAAAGCACGGCAAATCTTGACTCCAGCCATCGAAATTTGAGCATACATTACAATCGTTCATTTTTTTAAATCAGTAACTGAGAACAATATAGAAAAACGTAAATTGTCGTTTCTTCGATTTGAGGCGGGGGCCGGGTAGGCTGGAGACCACACACGGGTCGGATCTGTACACTCTTCAACTTTTGTTCTTGACGGGTTCGGGCCGAACCCGCCCCAATTTGCCACATTTGTCAATTTATCGATAATTACATTTCGGTCCTCATACTATACATTGATATTGATTTCAGTCCACTATATTATTTTTGCCACTATTTTAGTCCTCAAACAAGCCTTTTTTATTTGCAAATTTGGCCTCGCGTCCAAATTCTCGTTGGAGAAGCCCGGACCTTCAAAGAAAGATTATTCTTTTTTATTGGGTTTTGTTTTGGATGAAATTGTAGGAATATACTAAAATGGGAAATTTACTGATTCCATCCCTCAAGTTTGCTCCAATTTCACATTTGGTCCCCATGTTCACAACAAACACATTTGGTCCCTTATGCTTCAATAGTTTGACATTTTTGGTCATTCTCATCAATTTGCTCTTAATCCATCAGTCATGGTAGTGATAGGAACACATTCAATTCCGTTACTTTTAACGGAAAATTGACATAAATGACTAAAAAGTAGGGAGAATGGCAAAAAGGCCCATCACATGGGACTTAAATGCATTTTGGTCCACAAAAAAAACAGTCTCTCAATTAAACCCATCCCCATGTCTTTAGTCTAACATACCCTCCATAATATAATTCTTATCAATTTCATCCATTATGCTCTAACTTCCTTAAAATTACACATTGACCCCGGATTCAAACAAATATATCACATTAACCCCCCAAAATTTTTTTTTCAGAATTTTTTTTTCGGCCAGATTCCGGCGTTGACTTTTTTTTTTTGAAATTTTTTTTTCCTGAAATTTTTTTCCGGCCAGTCAACCACCGTTGACCGGTGGTTGACCGCCGGTCTCCAACGTTGACTTTTTTTTTTTTTTTTGAATTTTCTTTTTCTTAGAAAAAAATATTTTAATTAATATTACTGTCTTGGCTTCTAAATTACTGTCTCGGACAGTATATTACTGTTTGGGACAGTAATATTATGAATATTATTTTCCCGAACTGTAATATTATTAATATTATTGTCTCCGACAGTTAAATAACTGCTGAAGATAGTAATTTAGCAACAAATACAGTAATATTAATTAAAAATATTTTTTTTAAGAATAAAAAAGTCAATAAACAGTTAAATTACTGTCTCCGACAGTAAAATAACTGCTGGAGACAGTAATTTATCAACGAATACAGTAATATTAATTAAAATATTTTTTAAAAAAGTCAATTAAGAGTTAAATTACTCTCTCCGACAGTAAAATAACTGCTGGAGACAGTAATTTAGTAGCAAAGACTGTAATTGTTAAATTACTGTCTCCGACAGTTAAATAACTGTCGGAGACAGTAATTTAGCAGTCAAGACAGTAATATTAATTAAAATATTATTTTTAAGAAAAAATAAAATTATATAAAAAAAAATAGTCAACGCCGTAGACACGGCGGTCAACGGCAGTTGACCGGGCGGAAAAACATTTTAGAGAAAAAAAGTTTTTCAAAAAAAAAAAAAAAAAGTCAACGTCGGTCAACGGCGGCGACCGGCGGTCTCCGGTGGTGGCGGGTCAAAATTGAAATTAGAGTTAAAATTGGTTAATTGATGAAATTGGGCTAAATTGGGGTGTAAATCATGAAATTGGAATTGAAATTGAAATGGGTTTCAATAAATAGGGGGTAATTTTGGTATATATAAAGGGATTTTCCTTATTTGCAAATAAGGTTGGATGGGCTGGATTTATTTGAAAGACAAAAAAGTTGAATGTCCCTCTTTTAATTAAGTGCCTTTGTCATGGGCCTATTTGCCATTTGCCCTAAAAAGTATTGAATTTTTGAAACATAAGGGACCAAATGTTTTTTTTGTGAACACGGGGACCAAATGTGAAATTGGAGCAAACTTGAGGAATCAAAACTGTATTTTTCCCAAATTAAAATTGTGGCTTAAAAAAAAAGAGGTAAAATGGGGATTAAAGAGGTTATTTCAACATGCTCCGTGCGTGCCTTTTTCCATCATAGTTAACACCAGGTTTTGTAGATGCTATACCTGGTGAAATACATCAGCTGATCTTAAACTATGTGTATGTGTGCTTATTGGGTAGTTATTTATATAGATCTACGTTTCAAAACTGACTGGCGTTTTACACCAAGTATAATATCTCATAGACCATTAACACCAGTATCGCCCGAGGACCAAAATTATAAAAAAAAAGAAATAAAACCGTGACAAAAATAATGTAGGGACTAAAATCAATTTACTTTTTGGTCAAATTCTAACAAATATGGTAAATTATAGCAAAAAACACATTTGTTGGAGATTCTCTATAAGAAGGAGTGATAGATATTCAATCTTTCTTGATGTATTGTTTTATTTCAACTCTCATGATAGAATTATACATAAAAAATCAGATCTGCAGGCAGGTTTCCAATACATATATAATTCTGGGAACCAATAATTAACATTGTTCCGAGAACCAATAATTAATTCAATGGAATGGCTACCGATTTAGCAAATTGATTTGATACGTGAAATTATTATTTATGAATGTAAGGCTAATAATGGGAATCCTACAACACTCGGGATCTTTCGACCAATCTTCTTAATAAAAGTAAGGTTGTTCCTGAAAAAAAAAACTAGGAAATGTTTTCCGCTCTGGATAGTTATAATTGTCATTTATTATTTAATTATTTTTATTATTTTATTTCATTTAATAAATACATTTATTAAGTATCCTGATTAAGCACTTTCACAACCACCATCATTAAGAGAGTTGGTACCTAGTCTTACCAGTAGGTAAAAGGTCTAGGGTTCGAGTCCCCCTCCCCTACTTGCCCGTGTAAAGGACTTAAATTTACTCAATAAAAAGGGCAAAATACCCTTTACCCCCTTGTACTATGCCCCACGTAACACTTACCCCCTCGTACTATGAAAAATACACTTACCCCCTTATTTTAATTGTCAACCTATTTGACTCTTAACGATGTTAGTAGTAAAATAAATTTAATATATTTCTAACAATCCCTACTAAATGACACATTTTTTTTATTTAAAAAAAATATTACATGTACTATGAATAAATTAAATAAATATATATGATAATAATATTTTTAAATTTTGATTAAATAAGAAAAATATTATTACTTTTTAATAATTCATAAGAAATGACATTTTATTTTTATTAAAAAAAATATCTTTTCATTGTGGATAATTATATTAAATAAATATTTAACATGTATAAATTTTTAAATATAGGATTAAAATATTTACTCATTAAATATTTATATTAAAAATTGTAATTCTATAGTAATATTTTTTAACGATATATGCTAATGATTTATTTTATTTATTTGTAACATCAAAATTCACTTAAACCTTTTACATTTAGGATTCACTAGACGGAATTTAATGTTACTAATAAATATTAAAAATTCAATGTTTAATGAGTTAAATAATTTAATCCAGAATAAAAAAAATTAAACTTGCTATTTGGTTGTATAAAATAATATATGAAAAATTATATTATCTAAATATTAATTTTTAATATAAATATTTAACGAGTAAATTATATTTAATTCAAAATTTAAAAAAGAATTACTATCTTAAATATTTATTTAATATATTCATAGTACATATAATATTTTTTTAAATAAAGAAAATGTGTCCTTTAGTAAGGATTATTAAAAATATATTAAATTTATTTTACTTCTACCACCGTTAAGAGTCAAATATGCTGACCGTTAAAATAAGGGGGTAATTGTATTTTTCATAGTACGAGGGGGTAAGTGTTACATAGGAAATAGTAAAAGGGGGTAAAGTGTATTTTGCCAAAAAAAAAAAAAGTCATATATTGCTATACAGAAACGGGACAATTATGAACTTCAAACATAATTAACAAGGTAAATTGTGTACAATTTGAACCATAAATATAACAACAAGAAACACAAGACAAACAGAGTTCCTAACTTTGTTTTCAGCTAGACAATTCTTTTTGAATCCTATGCAATTCCCTAACAACATCAGACATCAACATTCTTTCTCTCGGCAATTCCTTCGAACATGTCACTCCAATTCTCATAATGGAAGACACGCAATCGTCGAGCTTACAGTTATCGATCGTGTGAGGCCCCATTCGAATGAGAGGATCCACAATTTCCATTACACGATTAGGCAAAGCAGCGCTAACGAAATTGTGAAGATTAGCATGCTCCTTAAACGAATCACCGGTTGGTCTTTTATTTGTGAACATCTCCAAGA